AATTTGTACGTTAATTTTTCTTTTCTTTTTTGTTTTATTTAAATATGCGGGTATATTTGTTATTTTACATTTTATTTATTGAGAAATTGAATAAAAATGATCTTTTCAACAGTGAAATGTGAAAATAGGGACGAAAATACCAAAAAAAAAAAAAAAGGAATGATAAGGACGTTTTGTATAATAATATCAAAAAGAAAGGACGGTTTATGTCAATTACTCTAATTTAAATATTGCAATGTAAAAGAAGAACTTTAATTTTATTTTTAACTACATAGAATCAATACCTTTTGTTATTTAACGAAATAATCTAAAATTTATCCTTGGCAACATTTCATGCTATTTTCTTGAGATCAAAAACCAAAATTAATGACAAAAGATATGAAAATTTACAAAATACATCCCAGCCTATAGAATAAGGTGACGCCATATTCTTTTTATAATGATAGAGCTTATTTTCTCAATTTTTTCCCCTCACATTCATATCCTCAACGTTTCATAATTTGCTTATTTTTCCTGATGACTTTTTCGTCATAGATTCCATTAATAAATAATAAGGAGAAAAATGACTTAATTGTCCGTTGTTTTTTAAAATAAAAAATAAATATAATATTATGATTATACATTTGTCCTCATTTTAAAGTATGCTAACATAATTTTTGAATGAAAAATAATCATTAGGGACGAAATGTGTAAATTTATGATAAGTATTAAAATACAATGAAAGGGGAAATAAATGTAACAAAAATAAAAGTTACGATCCTTTAATGCAATTAAATGTGATAATAAGGAGAAAAATGACTTAATTGTCCGTTGTTTTTTAAAATAAAAAATAAATATAATATTATGATTATACATTTGTCCTCATTTTAAAGTATGCTAACATAATTTTTGAATGAAAAATAATCATTAGGGACGAAATGTGTAAATTTATGATAAGTATTAAAATACAATGAAAGGGGAAATAAATGTAACAAAAATAAAAGTTACGATCCTTTAATGCAATTAAATGTGGTCAATATAACCATCATAACAAAAAGTACCTACTATAGTTAATAAAAGATTAAAATTTTGACATTTCAAATAGTTGAACAAACCAAATAATTTATAGAACTGAGCTATACGTACAGAAAGAAATCTTACAGAAGTTTTACAGATCACTCATAGCAGGTGGGGTCGGTATTTTTTTGGCCATTTTTTAACACACAGGGACCCGTGTGGGGTTGACCTCCATTGGAGAGCTCTGTAACTCCACTTTTGTACATCCAATTTTTGTGTAATTTATAATAGAAATAACAAATTATATCTTATATATTAATTAACAACTATTTTTCATATAGTTAGTTTAACTACATTATCACTGGCGGAGGTAGTTTGGGGGGGGGGGGGGCATGCTGGGCTGTAGCCCAGCAATGTCCCCTAACACATTAGAATTTTGGCCCAAGTTTTAACATTAGCCCAACTCTAATTTAAATCCCAACCTAAGTCCAATACTCAATTGTTCAAATTATTTTAAAGACACTAAAATTATTAATTACTCTTTTTCAGACATTTATGAAATGTGAATATTTTATTTTCAAATTAGATGTTCTATTTAATGCATGTTTGACTTAGATCTAAAAGTAAATTACTTATTTTAATATTTAGAGACACAACATATTTTTCTAAATTATGTATGTTTTCATTTATTACTAATTCATAGTTATAAAAAAAATACTTATTTTGACCATAAAGTAGATATTATGTCAAAATAAATAACTTAATATAGAGTTGATATTGATAATAAAAAGAATATTTGTTAAAACTTTCAGTTGTTTAGAAAGGCTGGTTATTAAAGTTACTAGAAAAATACTCATTAAATAAGTTTTTAAATGTTCATTGGTGGATATGTATTTTTGCTTAATTCTATCATGATTCGGTTAGTTTAAAAATTTTTAAGGTAAGCATTGATTTTCTATTTGGTAAAAAAAAAAAAAAATACAAAAAATTTATTGGAATATCTTAATGTGAGATGTTTAAACTTTTTTTTATTTTATTCAGTTTCGTATACTTTTATCGTGAATGTCACGAAAATAGCTTTCGAAACTCAATTTCTTGTGACATAAGTTCATTCAACAATTTTTAAATTTTAACACATTCTAATATCATTTTCAGTACATTATTATTCTTTAAACTTTAATTACAATAAACTTGTAATGTTTTATTGAATGATTTTTGCTTGAAATACACAGTTTTCTTTAGTGTGAGATTTACGAAACTTATGATCCTCATTTACTTAAACTAGAACTTCATATGACATAAGTCACATAATATAAACATTAATAATTTAATAATGTATGGAAAATGTAGCAAAAATTTCATTTTAATTTTTTCCAGCATTATTATGTGGACAAAAGGAAAATATTAGGTTTCATCGTCTAATAAATAATTTATTTTCAATATAAAAATTTTAAAAAAGTAAAATTATATATTATTCTACAATTTAAAATTTGACATTTCAAATAGTTGAACAAACCAAATAATTTATAAGAAAAATAACAAATTACACGTTATATATTAATTAACAAATATTTTTCAGATAGTTTGTTTAACTGTATTATTATTATCGAATGATTTTTACTCGAAATACACAGTTTTCTTTAATGTGAGTTTTACAAAACTTATGATCCTCATTTTCTTAAATTAGAACTTGATATGACATAATATAAACATTAATAAGTTAATAATATATGGAAAATATAGAAAAAAAAATTCATTATAATTTTTTCCAACATTATTATGTGGACGAAAGGAAAAAATTAGTTTTCATCGTCTAATAATAATTTATTTTCAATATAGAAGTTAAAAATAAGGAAAATTATATATTATTCTACAAGTAAAAATAATTTTCTTAATCATATTATTTTAAGTTGACGTTACATCTTCATGCCATTTTGCAACGTAATAAATTTCATATATAACTTTTTGGTTTCTATGTTTATGTTCTTTTTCTTTTATTTTTACGAGAAAAATTTAAGAATAGATTGTAAGGATTTTTCTAATCAATTGTATGGGCTTATATGTGTAAATTATTGTGCATTAAATTAAAGGCTATCGAATTTGGTTTAGCTAATCTAAAGTGATCTAATAAGGATTCGATATTGGGCTTTAATGCATCCAATTAAAGTGTGGATTTATATAGGGAACAACACATAACTCAGGCTTTTAACGTACACCATTTCATCATCTGCATGGGTAGCCTGCGGCTGGGGTGCAGTATGGATTTCATGCCCCTCTGGCTCTGTAGGATAATATTCCCGCGTTGCATGCTCCTTAATAGATGAGTAGAAACAGGAAGGTGTCTTTTTCCTTTTTGGTGGTGTATCAACAAAATCATTGTCGTCATCATCTTCAACATCACTTGAATGTTCTTTACATCCATTTGTAATCATTAACAACCACGGTGTTTAGAGATTGGACAATGGCACTCGTGCCTGCATCGCCCGTATATCCAAATTGCATGTCCTCTCGTACATGTGGTTGCAAAGGTTTCTTCTACAAAATGTCTTTCATATATGGAGCTACAATTTCATCGTCAGACGAAACAACGTAACGAACTTCGATCTACAACAGTGATATAATTAACAATCATATTAGTTATCTACGAACATATTGATTATCAAAGTTTTGTGACATAAGCATGTTAAGTGTCATTATCGAGCGATGAAAACTTGATGACATCACACGATGAATGTAGCATATATTTCATGTGTGTGATCTGGGAAACATGCAATGACCAAATCATGTGTGACTAACATTTACATAACTGTGACCTTTACACTATATATTATCTATTGTGACCCTTAATATGTAACTGCAATAGCAATGAACAACAACTAAGAACCAAAAGTTTCACGCTTACGTCAAGCTTGGAAAAGACCTCTTCATCCAATTTAACTACAGAGGGTTGTCTGTTCGACGCACAGTTCACAATGTGGGGGTGCCTATTCCCCACCCTATTGGTCACAGGTCTAGGAAGACTAGGAATTGATTCATAAATCCAGACTTGAAATGCAATAAAAAACCCTTTCAGCCTATAATGGGGATTCCTATGACCCAAACCCGCTTTTAGAGATTTTATAGACATCTCAAACAACTCCTTACCCTAAGAAAATCGTTCCATCGCAGCAAAGTCTTTTACTAAGGCAAATATGTAATTTTTAACCACCTTCTTATACGATGTGGAGAACAAGAAAGACGTTATC